ATATTGAAATTTGAGCTGTGGTCTTAAGAAAACACTCGAAACGATTGTAATGGTGTGGATAGTCGTGTGAAATAAAGATAAAAGTAGGAAAAATGCGAAGATCGAAAGCTGAACCGCAAGAAATCTTCCTCACCTCAATGAAGTCCATTATGGCCGCCGAGACCTCTTTCAATTTCGGAGTTTCGGCGACAATTTTTCCACAATTTGTAACGAGAATTACACCGTCGTACGCTGCGTCACATATTGAGGCGGCTCGTAAAAAGATGTGTAGATAGCAATGACGGTAGATGCATATAGAGTCCTTTGGCCCCTCAAACGAGCGGTAGAGGCAACTGGAAACTTCTCAATAGTATTAAATCGATGCCAAGTGGAACCGAAAAACGCAATGGAAAAACAACTACGACAACAACAACAAAAACCGAATTAACCCTTTGAAAACCACCGTCGATAGGCAAGCGGCGTCGCGCCGTCGCTGCACGACAGTCGCAGACAGGCAGAATCTGAATGCCTGGTCGTCTACGCCTGCTTTCCCAAGAGACGCGACGCCTCCATTACAGTGTAAGAGCGAAATTTGCCGTCGCTCGCTTTGGCACGAAACGTACTGAATGGTCCTCAAAGGGTTAACCCACTAAAAATGTAATGAAAGGATGTACCAAAACGAGAAGATAAGAGCAAAGAAGAGTCACCAGCTTAATGGTCAGCGATGCACGCTATCAGGAAGCAATGTGTTGTTTCGACCCCTCCACCAAACACTCTCGTGGAATCACTTGGGAACGCTTTAGTTTAGGTATCTCCGAGACTGCAAGGTTATCTGTCAAACCACTACGCCATTCACGAAGGAAAAATATCGTCAAGGATTACCAAATATAAACTGAACTACTCCACCCATAATCAGAAGGAAAAAACATGATGTACAAGATACTTTTCTACAGCAGAGACTTCAAAACAATCCTGATGTTGTGGGAAAAGTTTCCACTTCTGCATATCCTGGGAAAACTCGGGAGAAATGCCTTCATTCTCGTGACATCCCAAAAAAACGTAGAAGAAAGTGCTTCCAATTTTCTGAGAACTTGGGAAAACTTAGGAAAGAAATCTCCACTTTTTCAATATCCTAAGAAAACTCAGGGAACTTCCTATGTCTGAGATATCTCAGATAACCCAGGAAAAAAAGTCTCCGATTTCTTATACCCTATTCAAACTTAGAAGAAAAGTTATTTGGTTTCCGTAACATCCTAGGGAAACGTCTGAAAAAGTCCCCATTCTTGTGATGTCCCGGGAAAAACTTGGAGAAAAAGCCTCCGATTTCAATTAGAATTCGAAAAGAACTAAGAAAAAACGTGCTCCCCAATTTTTTTGATACTCTAAGAAAACGTCGGAAAAAAAGTCTCCATTCTTGTGACATTCTAGAAAACTTGTGGAAAAAGTACTGGAATTCTGGGAAAAACTGGGAAAAAAGTGTCTCCGTTTCTTTCTTCATCTTCTCGAAATGGCACTATCGGAAGTGAAACGACTACTTTACGCATGCGATATCTCTTCTATATTGCGAATTCTATTGCATTCTTTCACAGCTATCAATTTTATCTTCTTCAACGAATAAATACGAAGACAAAACGAATGATTGATGGATGGAATGGAACGAGACGAGCTGGAAAAACCTAGCATGATCGACTGCACTTAGGCGACATTAAACAAAATGGCGTCCATCCGCCAAGAGGTCACATCTACGCATATCTCTCTATTCATTTCCTTACCAACTGATTAAATTTTTTCCAAAAAAAAAGTAGATATGGATAAACGAATTTGAAAATCGTCTAAGACAAAACAAGGAGGGGAGGAACGGAGGAAAAGAAAGAGAGAGAGAGTAGGAGGAAGGACAGGAACGAAAAGTAGAGGAGGAGTGGCGAGGAGAGTAGATGACAAGTAATGCTGTAACACAAAAACAGCTGTATCAGCCGGCACCTCCTCCGCCGTTCGCATGAACTTTTACCTATAAAATCCTCTATTTTGTAGATGTACAGATATCCTATAGAAATGTTAATCGTCAATTATATAAATCCTTGTTTATATACAAATTTCGGTACCTTCTGATTATGAGGGGACAAATGAAAAAACCGATCTCATTTGCTGAACAGGCATTTTTCCATAGAACTGTGAGTAATCATTCGAAAGCTTAAATCATTGGCTACAGCTTTCTCTTAACCAACTTTTCAAAACACCCTTGTTGAAACGCTGTAAATCCAAAATAAAATTGTATTTCACACCCTCAGTTCGCCTCCATTTTTATCACGCGTATAATTCGCTGGAAGCACGAAAGAGCATATCAACGTGTAGAGGAACTTCGTAGAAACTGAGTCAATCGTTTCATCTCATGTTTCTTCAGAACGGTGATGAAATCCCCAATCGAATAACATCGTGTCGAAACGTGATCGATCGCGCAGCACACCCGCCCCGTGAATAGCCCGTAAATAACCACGTAAAACCACGTAAAACTCGATCTGACTTTCTTCGTCGGACACGTAAAACTCGATCTTATTTTCTTACTGCGGTAAATTCCCACAAAATAAGCACAACGCTGGAATCATTGATACGCTATAGAATGACTACTGAGTAGTCTAAAGAAAGAGCTCTCTCCGGCGAGGTGCAAAGCGCAATTTTTTTCTTCTTACACCGCTTACTAAAAAAACTTTTCCCAAAGTACAAACATATTTTTGAGTTCCTCGAAACTTGTGCTATCGAATGAGTACTAGCACTCTGAGGAAGGAGTCCTGTCCAGCGAGATGTAAGCGAGATAATCAAAAAAAGCGTGGATTGTGTGAAACATGATTATATTTTGGATTTTACAGCGTTATAAAAGGGTGTTTTAGGAAACCAGCCATGTGCAGGTGTAGCCAGTGATTTGAGCTTTCGAATGATTACTAACATTCCTATGAAAAATTCCTGTTCAGAGAATGGATATCGGTTTTTTCATTTCTCGCCGTCCAACAAATAAGTACCAGATCAACTACTGGAAAAGACTGACTAGCAAACGGTGAAGTCTGATCTCTCACATTACGCCCTAATCACATCTCAAAATTTCTGCTGACCCACCATTTGTGGAGGTGATAACATCAACAGATAAGAATTCGCGACAATAGAACTGCGATAAAAGAAAAATAAAAACAAGCGGAAAAATGAAAAAACAGGTGTCTACATAGACCTATTGCGATCTGAGAGAAGAAAACATAGCTATCGATTGATTTTCAATGAAATGAGAGCAACCGAACACCGCGAGAATTACTGTCAAAAGTTCTATCCGGTTATGAGAGGACAAATGAAAAACCGATTTAAATCGCCGGGCGAAAGGTGAAGGTTGTACATGAGTGTGGATTTTCTATTTTGCTGCCTCACAATAGCGGCATGACGATATGAATATATATATTCAGGAGTTTCGAGTGGTACGCAAAAATTTGACTCCACATGGGAGTTGAACCCGCGCTTCAATCTTACAATGAGCGCGTGCTGTATTTTGATGGGGTTCATTCAGTAGTCATGAGGGGGGCAATTGAAAACCGATCTCATTCGCTGAACAGGGACTTTTCATAGGAAAGTTAGTAATCATTAGAAAGCCGAGACTTCTGGCTACAGCCCCACCTCGCTGGTTTTCCAAAACACCCCTATACAACGCTGTAAAATCCATATAAAACTATGTCTCAGACGCGCATGTTTCTCGTCGGACGGAGCTCTTCTTTGGACTATTAGCACATTTTCGATAGCGTAATCGTTTCTGACTCCAACGCTGTGCTTAGAAGCTCAAAAGAGCGTTTCTCTCTTAATCGAATGAATACTAATAGTCCAAAGGAAGAGCTTCGTCCGGCGAGAAATATGCGCGTATGAGACATAGTTTTGTGTGAATTTTACAGCGTTATAAAAGGGTGTTTTGAAACCAGCGAGGTGGGGTGTAGCCAGAAGTCTCAGATCTGGAATAATTACTAACTTTTCTATAAGAAGTCCCTGGCCGGCGAATGAGATCGGTTTTCAGTTGCCCCTCACGACTAGACAGAACCCCATCAAAATACAGCACGCGCTCATCGTAAGATTGAAGCGCGGGTTCAACTCCACGTGGAGTGAATTTTTGCGTACCACTCGAAACTCCTGGATACATATATTCATGTCATCAAAGCCGCTATTTAAAAGCAGCAAAATAGAAAATCCACACGCATGTACAACCCTTCACCTTTCTACCACAACTACATCTCCCTAACCACTTCTATGGGGTTCGAGAACTCCATATAAACCCTCTAAGCGACTGAGATATTCCTAATTTTGGGACTGAATGCCAATAATTGTGCTACAACGATTCCTATTTCAATTTCAAAGACGAACCCCGGAGATAACCATGTATCCAAGCGAATAAACTACAACGTTTTGACCAGTTGATTTTAGCGGACCCTAACTGGGAGTGTCCGCTAGCGTGGGAACGACTCCATCTCCTCTGCGCGATTGATAGCCAACTACAGTACTGCGTTTCGTTGCAAGACCCGCAGCTAAATCTTGGACTGGGTCTTGCATCGACGAAAACCAGAAGTGTAGTCGGCGATTAACCGGGGCAGTGGAGGTGGAGACGGTCCGACGCAGGCGGATACGCCCAGGTGGGATCCGCGGAAGTAAACCGCATCCCTTGCTCCCCTCCTCCATCGTCCTGCGGTCAAGACTAAGTATGTATCGAAAAGTTGCGGAAAAACTCCAGAGAACAGCATGACTTTCCAGGATTAACCACGGAAACCGACGATTTTTTTTAGCCCTTTCAGGACCACTAGTTGTAATTGCCACGCGCAGTGCAAATATCAGAACCGGTGCGCGATTTTTCGTATTTGACTAGGGTTTTTAGCGTTTTAAATTTCGAAAAAATGTGGGGTTTCCCTGTAATATTTCGACAGTTTGAGATTTTCTTCACACACTCGTATGCTTTGTAATGCAAACATAAACATTATGAGGAGTAAAAGAGTGGAGTGCAAAAACGAGCGTCGGTGGTGCAACGGTTTAGCACATGCTCCCTTCCTGAAAGAGTAAGATCTGGGTTCGAATCCCGATTGACGCAAACTTTTTTGCATACCATTCTACATCCGGAATTATAAACTTTCTGTTTGAAAGAAAAGCTCTCTTATACTACGAATCGCAGTGATATTAGCAATCTATCAATCGTATTGAGTTTTACAAAAAATATGATGATATAAACCTATCAGCCTTGATATATTTCATCATTTATGGCATTTTGAAGGCATATTAAAGGATAAAGGATAAATCTCTTGGCGTTGATCAATCCCTGAGGGATGCGCCATGCATTCGACTTCAATTTTTAACTTCCGTTTGAGATGACTGAATGCAAAATCTGGCCTTTACAATGACTCGCGGTGGCTTCCCGCTGAACCGAGTCAGTCCTGCTTATCCTCCCAGGCAAGTCTGAGACCAGTCTGGTACCAATTACCGACCCCGGAGGGATGGATGGCTTGGTGAGCCATGAGCGCGAAATCGAACCATTGACCTCGTATGCGACGCAGAGCAACTCTGACCACTGCGCCACATGCACCCCAAAATTCATATTAGTGACTGAAAATCGAGAAGCAGTGGACAGTATGTCAAAAAAAGCTGTTGCACCACACTGCATGCCATGCAAAGTGAAACGCAGTTTCTGTTCACCGTTTCTACAGTGCACTAAAAAATCTACACTTGCTATTCAATTTGAAACTAAGTTTACAGCGTGTAAGTTTACACTGAGTTTCGGTGGTGCAACGGTTAGCATATGCTCCCGGAAAGAGTGAGATCTGGGTTCGAATCCTGGCTGACGCAAACGTTTTTGCACACCACTCCACATTATTGGGTATACTATAACATCATACCACTGAAAGTGGCAGTTAAATAGAAACATTTCTGACAATCGAATAGCTATCAAAACTTTGGTGAAAAAGCTTTGTTAGGTGAAAAGACCACGAGAAAACGGGTGCAAATCATATTGAGGCCCTCCGACGGAAAAAAACGCAATTTTCTCTTTGTCTCTGAAGCTCACTGGAAAAGGACTTCCATGGGTTAAGCATGCCATCAGAACCACAATTTTTTCAGCTATCGAATGACTACTTAAAGCCCACTAAAAAGTCTATGGACGACAAGAAAACCACATGGAAATGCGCGTGTACCATGAGTGGCACACGTGGTCCTGAGAAAGGGCTAATTAGGACACCAGAGCTCTCGACCTACGGACCCATCGAACGCCGGATTTTGCTGCTATGTGGCACCGAGTACTGCCGCTAGAATTTCGACAAGAAAGCAACACTTGGACATTCTTATCGGAGTCTTAAAGGGATTCGACGTAGACAAAAAGAGAAACAAGGAACGAAGAGATAAGGGAAATTCAATGAAATGTTCAGCGATCAGCCACGGAACACGACGGCGGTGGCGGAGGCACAGCAATGTCTTCTTTGGCCATCCATTTCGTCACTTGGAAGACCACAGAAGTATTTAGAAAAATAAAAAAATAACAATAAAAAAATTTTAAAAAATAAATAAAAATGAAACGCCGAGATATTCTTGAAAATCGAGGACGACGAGCTTCGATCTCGACAGCGACGAGACTAGAAGTTGGCCGTCATTTTCGATGTGTGTCCGCAACAAAAATAATTCTGTATTATTGCGTATAGGAGGCGCCGTGGCCGAGTGGTTGTGATGTTCGTCGCGGCGCGCGCTCAGCCGAGCTCCACTCCCGACCCTCTCCAGAGTCAACGATAGCCTTATGGACTCCACAGCCAGGCTATACTCAAGATTGCAAGAAAATGGTCTCAATCAATATTTTACGACGTTTAAGAATAAGACGAAAAAACGAATAAATGCTAAACTATTGGGATTCGCCCAGCGAAAAAAAAAGAGACACTTCGTAGACGGATCAATAAGTATCTTAAGTGTGTACTACGTGTCATCTCCTCTTAGTCCTCGCTCATCCTCCTTCTTCCACCTATCCCGATATTTGGTTCCATACGTGGGCCCCTTCAGGTGCCAATAGGAATTGGAAATATCCAAGGAACTGGTTGTCTACTATCTCGCGAGGAAGCGGTTTTCTTGCTTGAACATGGGATTTTCGGAAAATTTGGGCGTTCTTTTTCGTGAAAACTCCCTTCTAGAAGTCTCTTCAGTGTATCCATGAGGTCTCCCCTAAGAACCTAAATATACCTAATAAATACCGGATGTCTATTGGAGTGCCCAATAATCTACGTGAACCGTTTGAACGGAATGAACATGAGTGTACCAAAAATGGTAGACGCGGCGGTACCGAACGTATTAATGGCGGCGAACTGACTGCCTCATCTAATTTTTGACCGTTTCTTCATATTATATCGCTAGTAAAAAGTAAAATGCTTCGATCTTCATCGCTAGGAAAATCGAAGTAGTGGGGACAGGGTAGCATAGTGGTTAGTGATGTGGTGTTTTAGGAAGAAAGGTGATAAATAGGGCGCTAATTTTGATCCGCCGCCAACACCTTGCACACAGTTAACGAACACCTTAGGGAACGCCTTAACTCAGCTACATCCGAGGTTGCAAGGAGTAACGTATCGACCAGAAATCTACGGAATTCATTGAGAAAACGAAGTCCTCAAGCAGCAGCAGATAGAGCAGAATACATGGTATGGCCAATGACCTTTATGGTGGACGAATTCGAGGAAACAAATCGAATGTAAGAACTGCTGGAATGTGCGGAGTAAATTTTGATATCAGGCCGTATGAAATAAAAAATAATTAAAAAAAGCAGTAGTCGACTTCTTATCTACGTTTTATCAGCCCTAAAGCTCAGCGGTGTTGTGCGTAAAAAACGAATGCAGACACAATTTTTATTCTACTGAAATACGAAGACAGGTCAAACGTTATCACAGATACACAATAGATGAAAACACCGAAGACAGAGGAAGATTGGTGGTGGTGGTGGTGGTGGAAACGGCTAAACTTTCGAAGGACTCAATTACTCTATGGTGTAAAAAAGAGCCGCATCTGCAGTTGCAAGTGAAGCTGCCCATCCCAGCAAGGAAGAATCTCAGATTAGGATCTCGTTCCACATAGTACGAACGTGCCGAAATTTTGAAGGAAACCCTGCGGTGTAGAAAGAAAACCTACAGTTCTAGCAGAAAGCTGCCCATTCAAGCAAAAGAGATGGCCAAAAGAGCTTAGTTGACAAAAAGGGTCAGTTATCCCGAAGTTAGGTTGAGTAAAAAGAATCTCAGAGTACAATCTTCTTCTGCACAGTATGAAAACCGTAAAGCAGCGGTGTCGGTTACATTTAGAACGGACCTCTCTTGAAGAATCTAATTTTATTCACTTCAGATCTTTTGGCATCAAAAGGTGATCTATCGAGATTTTTGTGGAGTAAAGGGTCTGAGTATGAAAGGAATGCTGGTCAATAATGGGCTGATAAGCAAAGCAAAGAAATCGGGAGCTCCATGCATGACAGGTCATGGTCAACTGAAAACACGAAAACAGCTGTGATATGAATCATGGTCACTACAGTGTTTTTCAATAAATTCCGTGAAGGAGAATAAGGAAGAGCTGACGGTGTTTAGACCTGTGAGTCAACCTTTATGGAAGATGAAAATTCAAAAAGTGGAAAGGATGATTATTGCATAAAAGTCCCTATCAGAAATCGCAAAAGCATATGCAACGATACCTTCCAATCGACTACTTTGAGAACTTGCTTGAGAATTCAGTATGGCTTTTTACAGTGAAAAGATTATTTGATGTAGCGTGCTTGAGTATTTGATTGACTTAGACTGATGTTTTTTCGGCGTCGACTGCTATTAGCAACAGAGATGAGTCCTAGGGCATGCGGCAATAATAAGGCGTGCGAGATCGGCGAAACGTACGTGTGCCACCGAAATGCCAGACCACACAGACCTCTTGAAAGGCCGAAAACATTCTATCAGGCTGTACCGTAATCAAAAAATCGATGATGAGTATTTCACTATCCTCTGAAATTGTACCATGGTGGTAGCTGTAGCAGCTTCTTTAGTAGTAAATTTGAGAGCTTGAAATCTCCCTGTAATGACTTTGGTTGTGAAGTAGCTTAGTTTTGTGTACTACTTGAGTTACCAAATCGTGATGTAGTAGTTCATCGGCTTGAGATAACGAGATCATTAAACGCTATTTTATAAGCTTTTTGAGTAGCAAATGGATTCGCCCGTCTCCAATGAATTAGTCATGTGATCATAGAATTGCGGTCGCCCTGGACGAATCCTAATGGCAAATCAGCAGACCTTCCTTTAGCAAACATCTTTGGCTGATGTTAATGATTCAACGGCCACTAATGCCCTAGCACCATTATTATAGATTGCTATGGAAAAGTATGGCATGGAATAGTTTTTAATAATGACAGACGATAGATACTCAAATCCTGCTTAGATCCAAACAGTAATTTAAACAGCATAGATGACAACTAAAAGCTTACCTTGTTCAACTGAAGCGACGTTTGCAGTAGCTGCTGTAGTAGCAGTCGTTATAGATTGTGGTTGTGTGGCTGACCTTTCGGCCGACTCCGCCTTCATCAGAGCCTGGACGTAAGTTGTGTTTGATTACTAGTATGACCTGTTTGATTGTCGATGTCCTTACATATCGCCTAGGTCAGGTAAAGAAAACGAAAGGAGAAGAGACCCTATGTCTCGCATGATAGTGACGAATTCAAAAATTCCTATTTGACCGTCTTTGGCGGTGGTAACATGTTATAATATACATAATAATAAAGAGTGATGTGCAAAAACATTTGAGTCAGATGTGATTCAAACCCACATTACTGCATCACCGATCGTGGAGGGATGGAAATTATGGTAAGCTCTGAGCGCATAAGCGAACCAACTACAAGTTCAAGTTGTAAACACCTTTGACCACAGCTCTGCGAGTGCTTTATGTGATAACGGTAGCCCAAGTGAATGTTAAGTGCTAACATAGCATTGATTAGAACCAGCATAGATTGAACCCACTTTCCCCTTAGAAAGTTAATGGAAATTAAGGTTAGGAATCAGAAGAGATGTTTAAATACGCAAAATGAAGTGTAGGCAGCATATCAGTATC